ATTGGGTTGGAGAAAATTTCCAGACAAACTGGGCAGGTTGCCTCCTTTGGCCATGGTTCTTGAAGGACACATCTTACCAGTGAGTTGAGCTTAAAAAATGGTCCTTTGTTAGCTTCAAGAGTCTTTAATACACAATTTGTGCTCTTGTAATCATGATATATCTTGTCTGGAGACTCCTGAGTGAAGTCTTATCTGCTCTTAGCACAACTTCTCCCAGGGGGAACTGAGCCCAACAGGGTCTTAATAGGATCTTGACATGCAGTCTCTGCCCCTACTTTGTAGGTCATCTGCAGTTTGGAGATTTTCAGCTGAGGTCGTAAAAATCTGAGGTTTTTGCCTTTATCTCCCCTGGCTTTTCCTCTTCTCTGAAGAGCCATTTTTTTCTTTTATTTTCGGAAGATTTATTTAGGCATACAAGAACTGGGGTACAGGTCAGAGGTGTGGGGGGTGAGAAGATTCACCAGAGACATAGTGGAGAACAGAACAGGCAGATTGACTGAAATACACTGCTGAGGGGAGCAGCAGGTGAGGCAGGAGAAGTGTGCTGAGCCATGTGGGTCATCTCCCTGGCTGGAAATCGAACTCATGCTGCAGTGGCTACGGATGGCTTCATCATGCTGCGTCTTAACCCCTTGCACCACCAGGGAGGCGCCTGAAAAGGCAGTTTTTCTTCCCCCCATTCCTTATATTATACTCTTTGACCCTTTCTTCTCCTCCCACCACTTAACCTTGGAAATCTGTTTATTAGTCTGCTGGTTTCTATAACTAATGATACTTTCCTTTGTTAAACGGTCTACTTTGTAAACATCTAATATTTGTCTTTATCATTCTGATTTGCTTTACTACAATAATTCCCTTAAACTACTTCCATTTTGCTATAAATGAAACCTTAAGTTGAATAGTAATCCGGTGTTTGGCTATGCCACATATTCTTGTTCTAGTGCTTTACCGTTTGGCATTTAGGTTGTTTCCATGTCCTAGTTATTATAAATAATCCTGCAATAAACATAGAGCATATAATGCTTTGAGTTGGTGATTTTATGTTCTTTGGATATATGCCCAAGGGTGGGATTACTGGGTCATATAGTATTTCCATTTTTAATTTTTTTTAAAGATTTATTTATTTATGCATACAAGAACTGGGGTACAGGACAGAGGTGTGGGGGGTGAGAGGATTCACCGGAGACAGAGTGGGGAACAGAACAGGCAGATTGACTGAAATACACTGCTGAGGGGAACAGGGGGCGAGTCAGGAGAGGTCTGCTGTGCCATATGGGTTGCTTCCTGGCCAGGGATCGAACTTGTGCTGCAGTGGCTGCGGATTGCTTCATAGGTTGCATCTTAACCCCTTGCGCCACCAGGGAGGCCCCCATTTTTAATTTTTTAAGATATATCAGATTTCTTTCCAAAATGACTGAACCAGTTTGCATTCCCACTTACAATGTAATTGGGTTCCTCTTTATCTCCATCCTCTCCAGAATTTGCTGATGGAGGTTTTTTTAGTACATGCCATTGCCATGAATGTGAGATGATATCTCATTGTGGTTTTGACTTGCATCTACCTTATCAAAAGTGATAATGAACGTTTTCCCATGTGTCTGTTGGCCTTCTGGATATCCTTTTTGGTGAATTGTCTTCTCAGATCTGCCCATTTATATCAGGTTGTATTTTTTTTTTTGTGGGACCCTTGCTGGTGGCCGGGGAATGAACCAGCGCTGCAGAGGCTGCGGGCAGCCTCGCAGCCCAGCGCTCAACCTCTGTGCCACCAGGGGAGGCCCAGGTTGTACTTTTTTTAATTGTTAAATTGAGTAAGTTTTTTATGTAGGTTGTTGGTTGTGTAACGTGTGAATACTTTCTCCCATTTAATGGGATGTCTTTTTATTTATTTATTTATTTATATCTAAAAATATTTATTTATTTATATAAGCACTGGGTACAGTCAGAAGTGCGAGAGGGTGAGAGAATTCACCAGAGCCAGAGCGAGGAGCAGAAGAAGGACCGAAGTACACTGCTGAGGGGAGCAGCGGGCAGCAGGAGAAGTCTGTGCGCCATGTGGGACCCTCCTCCGGTGGCCGGGGAGCAGCTGGGGATCGAACCAGCTCTGCAGAGGCTGCGGGCAGCTTTGCAACCCAGCGCTCAACCGCTGCGCCACCGGGGAGGCCCTAATGGGATGTCTTTTTAATCTACTTATACTAACTTTTGCTGTGTAGAATTGTTTGGAGATAATCCCAATTGCTTATTTTTGCCTTTATTTCCTTTGCAATAGGGGTCAAGTCTCTAAAAATAACTTTATCGTTGATGTGAAAAGTATAGCCAGTGCTTTTCTCACTGTGTTTTATCGGTGTAGGTCTATATCTAGGTCACTAATTCATTTTTAATTTATTTTTGTGCATGGAGATAGATGGTAATCCAACTTCACTCTTTTATATATGGGCGTCCAGTCTTCCCAGCACCATTTGTTAAAGAGATCCTTCATTTCCTGTTGTATGGTCCTGGCTCCTTTATCATGAATTTAGTGTTTATATATTAGTGGATTTATTTCTGGAGTTTTTTAATTCTGTTCCATTGATCCATGCATGTTTATGCCAAAACCGTATTGGGCCTTCCTGGTAGCCTAGAGGTTAAGTCTTGGTGCTGTCACTGTTACGGCCTGCCTGAGTTTGATCCCCAGCCAGGGAACTAACCCACATATGGTGCAGCACACCTCCTGTCTCACCCACTGCTCTCCTTAGCAGATACACTCTGGTGTATCTTTTCACCCCCTGCAGCTCTAGCCTACACCCCAGTCCTTCTATGAAAAAAAAAAATTCAAATGGATACCTGGAGGTGATGGTGGGGGTGACCTGTTAGCATAGCCTTCTCATTTTGGAACCAGGTTTGCAATTTTATAAGATGAATTAAATGAAAACATTTTGAAATCACTTAAATAAGAAAATAAAAATTTATGAAAGGCATAGCAACAACAAAAAGGCATAACCTCATAGAGAAGAGTTATTTCAAGTAATTAAATCACAGAAATTGGACAATATGCCCCCAGTGGGATATCCACTAAGGAGATTAACTACATAGAACCTTGAACAAATTGTTTTTATTAATCATATTACTAGTAACAATGGAATTGTAATTTTGCAACTGTGGTATGATAAAGTGAAAATGTAGTCACATTAGCATCATTCAACACTGGCATTCAGTTTAGGAAAAAAACATGCAGATAAGATCAATGGAGTTAACCAAAAACTTTTTAATTTTAAATTTGAGTTGGAAATATCATGCACTCATTATGAAGTTGAGGTCATTTCTCTTGACCACAAGAAGCTTATTTCCTGTCTCTTTGTTGCCAGTGAGCCCTCTTGGTGCCGGTGGTGACCCGAAATTGTATTCTCCTCCAGAAGGTAGCAGTGCTCCTTGGAGCAGTGGCCAGTTCCAGGGCTGAGGAGAACGTGTTCAGAGGTGCCGGCACAGCTGCCAGGGTCCACTTGGAAGAGGCTCCCGCTGGACAAAGGTGGGGCAGTTTGAGCTCCATAAAAATGACCACTAATGGTTTATCTTAGGCAGTTGCTGAGGAACCAGAGCATCGCTGTGAAAGCTGTGACAAGAAGAATGAAGCATTCAACTTAACTTTTTTTTTAACCTCATGACCAAAATAACCAAGGAGGAAAAAGGCATCTTTATGTTGTATCCAAATTAGACCAAGGGTCAGAGGATGGTGCTCACTGTGCTTTTGCCATCCTTATCGTTGCTGGCCTTTGCAGCTAAATAAAATCAATAATAAGGATATGAAAGACTGAGTTAGAGGGACTTTAGGCAGCACTCAGAGCTGCCCTTCTGTCTCACCTCTTCCTTAGTGGATTTGCTAGGGACCTCGAGGGTAAGGCATCCTCTTCCCTCCAGGGCGCCTGCCAAGTGTGGTGTGGAAGGAAGAGGGGCTCAAGCAATACTTGCTTGCCACACATAAACACAGTGCCTGGTGCAATCATGGAACCTTCCTCGAAGTGGGTGTTAATGTCATGCTGTTGGAGGGACCCTGAGCTCAGAGATGCAGTGTGCCCAGGGCTTCTGCCCTGCGCTGGGACCTGTAGGCCCTGTGACATGTCTCTGTCCCTCCATCTCCTACCCCCAACAGTTGAGGGTACTGTTTTCTGCACCACTTTACATACTGGAAAATACTTCAGAGTCATGGGTATGGGTGAGAGAATATACAAGCTCCAAAATAAACATTTAATAGACTTTTTTTTTTTTTTTGAGATTATATTGTATTTTGGGGGAGTTAGAGTGTCAGCAGGTCTTTCTGTAGTAGTCTTCATGTGCTGTAAAGAAATAAGGCCACTAGGTCAGATGCTGGCTTCTCTCTTCAGCCTTCCATCTGCCCTTTTTTAAAAAATCATTTGTCAGTTAATTTTCTGTTAAAAAAAAAAAAAAAAAAACACTTCCCTAGAGTTAGAAGTAGAGTTTTATGTTTGGCAATTTGTTGCTGGTTTTGATCCAGTGGAAAATATTTCTTTGTTAACTTCCTAATTATAAGTGCATGTTTAAAGTGAATTAGAGCCTCCCTTCCCTTTCCTTCCTTAGTAGACAGAGCTGGAAGGCGTTTCTCCCAGGTTACCCTTCTGCCCTGCATAAGGAATGGAGCTGCAGGCATGATCCTGACCTGAGTGAGTAGATGTCTGCTGGACCCAGGCCTTGGGAAAACACTTGGAAGGAGAAATGAGGTCGAGTTCTTACCACCCCAGCATTGCCCGTGAGTGACAGCACCAGTTTTGGGGAGTGCTTGGTGACAAGGATTGGGGGAATTCAGTCCTGGGAAACACACTGGACTCAGGTGCCCTCCTCCCTGCTCCCAGGTCTGCTCCCAGTCTGAAGAGAGCAGCTCTATCATGGCATCACCAAACTGCAGGCCCTAAAATCTACGTAGGAGATAGCAACCATGTAAACATGTTGTTAGGAACCAAGATTTTTCATGTAAGAACAAAAAGATGCAGGTATGAAGTTAAATCCAATTACATTCATTTTGAGTTAGAACTGTCAGTTTAAATTCATCATCTTTCTTTTTAAAACCATGCGTAGCTCCTGAAAACACCTGGAAGAAACAGACGTCCAAAAGCTAAAAAGTATACCTTATATCTTAATTTAGCGTGAGTTCTGTTCCGTGTGGTTTGGTCAGACTGAGTGGAAAAATATGATTTTCTGCCATGGCACCTGTAATTCTGAAGAAGTATGTCAAGAATTTGAGGTCAGGTGGAGAATGTCAGCTTGTCCGCTGGTATTCAGAATCAGGTCATATTTTTGTATGTTTCACATTGGGGTCTTGGGTTTTTTTTTTTAAATAAACGTTTTGTAGAGTTTCTAGTAAGTTGCTTTTCTTTTTTCTTTCAAACTATCAATCATCAGGAACTTCTAGGACCATAGTCATGTATTTTACATTCTTTTGGGGCCCTCTACTGGTCAGTTTTAGTTTGTATGGGTTGCTTTGTTAGCTTATTGCATCCTGGGAATTTTTCTTCATTGCGTGTCTGGGTTCTGCTCTTTCCTAGAGTTCACATCTTTTTCTTACTTGGACTTTATTTTTATTTTGCTGGTAATACATTCTGTAGTATGTTTTTCAAAAAGGGTTTTATGTTATAAAGATCCCAAGGCACTGCAGTTTTGAAAACACCTTTATGTTGCGTAAACTTTGATTGATAGAGGCTTTTTCTTAAATTCTAAGTTCAAAATAATTTCCCTTAAGAACTTTGAGGGAATTTCTTATTGCCTGCTGTCTCAAAACACTTAGTGGTGGTCTGATCCTTTACATTTAGAGCTAACATCCTCATTTTTTCTGATAGGAAATTTTCAGCTATTCTCTTGAGATCTTACAATTTTATGAGGATGGGTCTAAGAATCCAGGGTTTAAGAATCAGGGTCTAAGAATCCAGGGTCTAAGAATCTGCCTACTTGGTATGAGCCTTTTTCTGTGTAACTCAGTTGAATCCTTCTTCAGCATCTTCTGTACTTGTATCCTTCCATGCCTCTGCCTGCCCCTCTGAGGTCACCAGGAGACTTTATGGTTTTGGCTCTGTGGTCTTTAAATTTTCTTATATTTTTAAATTTTTCATCTTTTCCTTTATGTTCTAGGATAGGATTGGCAAGCTGTAATGTGAAGGGCCAGATAGCAAATATTTTAGGCTTTGTGGACCAAGAGGCAAAATTGATATTTATACAAGAGAGCAAAGAAATCTCATATAATTTGTATTGATAAAATTTAAAGTATAATAATCATTATGTACAGTTTTATTTTGCGATGCATTCTGGCTAAGAGAATAGCATTCTTTGGACCACTAACATTGCTTAAATGGGGTATCAAATTGATTTGAATGTTCATTTTTAGGAGTATCATTCTCAGCAGTAGCCCCAAATAGCAGGCAGCGGGTGCTCTGGCTTCTGACTTGCATCTCTTCCTCCACATCACTAATTTGACCTTCAGCTATGTCCATTTTATTATTCAGCTTTTCTGTCGACCTTTTCATTTTGGCAGTCACATTTGTAATTTCTAAGATGCCTTTCCACCTTTGCAGCACCTGCCTCATATCTCCTCCTCATGTCTCAGGAGGAGCGTGGTTGTGTTTTGGAAGGAGCCCTGGTGGGAATAGTCTGCAGGCTCAGGCCAGGATATTGATGGGGATCTTTGTGTCTTACTCTTGGTTCCCTTTTCTCTCAGAATCTGTGATGGAGGTCAAGGCTACTTGGTCCTGCTCTGAGGAGGCAGTTTTTACAGAGAAGAAATTGGAGTCCAGACAATGCATGCTCTGCCCTCAGTCTCTGAAGAGATAAGGGATGATCCAGTCAATACTAGACATTTAGTCAAACAAATCTAGTTCAGTAGTATTTTCCTGGACCTTCTTTATCTGGGCACATGTAATAATAATTGAGGCATGAAGTTACTGATCTGAACAATCAGTCTTTTCAGAATCAAGAAATACTGAATTTTGTCACAGTTTGAGTTGAGGCATAAGAAATTGTATTTTTATAGGCAGAAAATTGTTAAATCATTTTGACTTGGTTCAGCTTAATGTTAATAAGTTATATTCATTATGTTGATCTGTGAGCATATGTGGTCACTATAATTAACCAGAACACATAGTTGAAAAGCCTCTCCCATTCATATCCACAGGTCATTCTGGAATATCCAGGATATGACAGTCTTCACTCTCAATCCAGCTTCTTTTCTAAGTTAGGAGATTTGACCCTACAGAAGTTAAAATGAGCTTGTTCAGGGACACACACATTAGTGGCAAAACTGACTCAAACTCAGGAGTCCTGGAGGCAGGAAGAGGTCTTAGAAGGAGTTCTTTGCTCAAGTCCCAGAACTGCTGTTCCCTTGGAGCAAATTCTGAAACAGTCAGTCGATAGGTCCCCCTCCTGCTGAGGGCAGCAGCTCCTGTGACTCGGAGGGGTGGCCCTGGCATTGCTCTTGACTGGTGGTAACTCTTTTTAGCTTGGACATTTGCATTTGCAGAACAGCTGGACTTCTAAAATACTACCCTTTAGCTGCCTATTCAATGCTAACTAGAAATGTGGTGAGGCTGCCACAGGGCTCTGTGACCTGGAGGGATTGAGGAAGATGTGCTGGTTTTACTAAGAAAAATAAGCCAGTCCCCTGTGTGTCTTTTTGTGTTGTAGCCTGTTTGGGTTTTGCACTCAGTTTCAGAGTGCTGCCTGCCTCTTAACCTTTCTTAAAGCATAAACAGCTTCAGTGGGCTCTGCAGAAGGAAACTGTGGTTTCTGTTCTTCCTGTTCATTCACATGTGTTTTTCAGAGGGAGGTCTAACATCTGACCATATTTTTCAACAGTATCACAAGTAAATAGGGGAGAATGCATAGTAACTGTCAGCAGAGCGGGAGGAACCAAAATTTCTCCACAGAAATTCTTCCAAAACCAGATTTTTCAGATGGGGTCTCCCATGGCAAATGAGGTAGGTATAAATCCAGCATGGAGAGTCTTTTAGGGTGACTGTTGGATTCCTTCAGTGGTGTGTTTGTAAGTTAGGATGACCAAATTCTGTGATTCCTGTTGTGGGAAGCTGGATATGAAGGGTTTGTGCTGGCTTTTGGGTCTGAGAACCAGTGGTTCCTGGAGGACTATGAGCAAATTGAAGGACTATTTGTAGGCTGGTTTCATCTGTCTTTTACTGAAGGAGTCAGGCCACATGTCTGCTAGCTAAAAGTAATCTTCATGTGCAGTGGGGGTCACTTAGGATCCGAGGTCTGTGTTGGAAAATGGTTTAGGGGAAAGTTAAGAAGAACACCCACACCTAGCAGACTTGTACCTGGAATTTCATTCACAGGAGGTTCTGCATGCCAGGACCCAGCACCAGTGCCCCTCAGGCCACCCCTACAGGGAGGCAGGCACCTGTTCGTTTTTCACTGGAGCAGGCTAGGTCTCCACTGGAATGGGGAGCTTTGCCCAGCTTTGGCTCCCAGCTTTGCCCAGCTTTGGCTCCTTCTCCTGTCATCCTCTGCATCCTTGAGGCCTGGTCCCTGCCTTGTTGTTCCTCCTTCCGCCTCCTCCCAAGACTGGGGACTGGGCATGACAGGGTACCTTGAGATACAATCCCAGGACTAGGTGCATGCTGACTATGCATCAAATGTTTACTGAATGCTGAACTTGAGGACACTAGAATCTTACACTTAGAAAATTTTTGTTCAGGGGAAATTTTGTATTATGAATTAGGTCAAACCTGCCTTGCAGTGTACATGAGATTAAATAAAACACATGAGCGAATTCTTGAACACTTTCTGAGTCCCACTTGAGCTTATTTCTATTCCTTGGTGCATGTTTCCTGATTTCCTAAATGGTTCAGCTCTTTCCCTAGAATATTTTGTATTGTGTTGTGGGCAAAGGGCCTGTTGGTGTATGTTGCCTTATTAACATTTGATCCCCAGGTAGAGGCCAGTGACCCATAGATGAAACACATTTATCATCGTAAATTTTGTAAACAGATGCTCTGATGGGGAGATTAACTTCTGGTAATTTGTTTAAGAAATGCAGTCATTCAGAGCCTAGTCACCACAAGTGAGCTGCTAAATTGAGCTTCAGTCTGATAAACCTGGCACATGGGCAGCTTGGCTAGGCCTAGAGGAGGGCTGCTGCACTAAGTAGATGCTCAATGGTCCAGATTTAGAGTTTGTTTAACCAAGGGTTGCATTTTACATTTTCATCTTCAAAAGATATTTTATGTGTAAGATGGAAAATATTGTGAGAATATTGGGGATTGTTTCTGAGCCACTCCAGAAATCTCTTCAGTTAATGCAAGTAACTCTGTTCCATGTGAGAAGTCTGCTCTCTGCTAATGGTGCCTCAGAAGCCCTAGATTTCCTTCCTGACTCTGTGCCTGGGACTCCTGTCAGGTTCCTTTATTGGTAACCTCAGGGCCACAGTTTCTTCCCAAAAGACTTTGCACACATGGAATCCATGTTGCACCCCATGAAGGAACTCCATTCATAAAAAGAAAGTGTGACTTAACCTTATGCTCCTTTTGGGGGTTGAATCAGTCCTTTAATCTTTTGGGGACAAAGATTATGAATTTGGTAATGATGAACATGAGTGCTCAGTAAAAGTACTTGTTGACTGGAGAATGAGTGATTGCATGAGCTAAAACCACTTTCAAAACTGTGTATAGATCTGGAGAATTTTCCAGTGAATTAAAGCATCCATGGTGGTTTACTGGAACCCCAATCCTGCGTGCCAAAATTTTCTTAATTATTTCTTGGCTTATTTTTTCAATCAGAACTTCCCCTTATATTTTCATGTTCAAGAGCGACTTCACTTCCAAAATCTTGGTACGCTCTCGTTCATTTGTGTTTCTGGAATTGTTGCAAACCCCCCTTACCATGTGTGCTGTCCCCCAGCTCCCAGCTGTGTACTTTCCAGTTCCCGACAGGTAGAGTGGGGTGTGCATCTGTGTGACATGTTCGCTGTTTTCCAGGCCAGCTGCCACTCCTGTTCTGCAGTGACTTGAGGTGGCGCGGTAGTTTTGTTAGAATGCATATCTTCACATAACGGTTTCAACTTTATGCTGGCATGCTTGTCTCAGCTAAATGTAAGCAGCCATAGGCAGGAGTTAGAGTCATTCTTTAAAAAAAACCTTAGTGTTATAGAATATTTCAAGTAAATGACAAGTAAAATGAAGTTATACTTACACATCATCCAATTTGATTATTAGTGGACTTTCCTTCTTAGATCAGTGTTTCTCTATCCCTGGTAAGATGTGATGAGGGATTGGGCATGGGAAGGAAGCAGGTATTTCAGGTCAAGGAGGGGACACTTTGGGGAGATGAGTTTTCCAGGCAAGGAGAGGTACTTGAGATTAAGGGGGATTGCTTTAGATCAAGGAGAGTGGTGCTTCAGGATAAGAAGGGGGTACTGCAAGTAAAGGAGGAGGGTGCCCCAGGGCAAGGACAGGATATTCCAGAGTGAGGAGGGCAAGGAGGGGGTTATTTGAGACAAGGAGAGAATACTCTAGGGCAAGGAGGAGAGTACTTCAGGTCATAGTGTGGCATCTCTCCAGGATGAAGATGGGATGTGGAGGAAGATCCTCTTGGCCCAGGTTAGGGGAGGAGTTAGGGGATCTCTGGGCTTTAACCTTGTGACAGGCTATCTTGGTTCTGGGGCAGGAAGACTTGCTCATTGTGGGTGTGCCAGTTCAGCATATTGGATGTGTGCAGATGGGTGGAGGGAAGGGACTGAGACTTTGCAGTCATCTACATAATGACAGCTGGTGAAGAAGAGACACATTTTTATAATATTGTAAAAAAAATTATCACAATAATCATTGACATTAGTTTACTTGCTCAAAACATATCAGATATGTGATAGAGCTTTATATAGATGGTTTTGGAGACCTTCATGACATCCTATGGGTCATTAGCTCAATTTCTAGTTGGTGGAAAGCTCAGCTCACCAGTTTGCTTTGGAAATAGTATAGCCCCACACCATGCCAGAGAAGGGCAAGTGGAAGGCCTGAGCAGCATCTGATGTCCAGGCACAGGGATCTGCATGCCATCAGGTTCCCAGGAAGAATGAGCAACAGCTATGGTGGCAACACTGGCTGGTGTTTGCAGCTAAGATGTTTCATTGTGTAGTTTTATTTTATTTTTATTGAATCTCCTTATCCAGTACCAGTTTTAGTGGGTCATTGGAATAAAAGCCAGCTATTCCAAGGTCACAGACTTCGAAGAAGAAGGTAAACCAAGGATCAGCGGGCGAAATGCAGCTAGAGTGGGTGTATGGCTGGGAGAAATGTGGGGGTTCACTTGTCAGGGTTCGTTTTTTGAGGTGTGATCTTTCTTTGCCAGTTTTCCCCTGACGCTACAGATCTAAGTGTGGGGCCCTACATGCTCTGCGGGGAGTCAGGCCTCATGGCCTTTGTGGGTTGCAGTCATGTACCTCTTCACCCTTGATGTGTGAGGTTGACTAGCTGACCAGGCACCTCACAAGGTTTGTAGTTTTGTGGTACTGTATTTTGTGGAGTCCAGTGTGTAACTGAATTTCCCACATGCAGAGGAGAAACAGAAATAGAACCTATAATAAATGTTGGAACAGGTATATTTTGTTGATTCTGTGAGTGTTGGTTTGAGCCAGGCCTGCGATGGTCCCAGCTGTTGTTGGTGCTGGATCACCCATCCGACAGGCAGAATTATGGAGAAAATGACAGAAATTGACTTCTCAACTTGTTGTAGGTCTCTAGCTGGAGTTTGAGTTTGACATTTCTCTGCTAAGCCTGCATGTAGGTGTCTGGTTTTCTGTGGTTTTGTTTTCCTTTGGGTTGATAGTGTCTGTGGGCAATGAGTGCCTTGTGACTGTGGCAGCTGTCTGCTCGTCTGTGCAGTTAAGGACTTGGAGGACTTTGTTCCAGTTACTAGAGGGAATCCCAGGCCTTCCCATGGGTTCTCAGGAGGATTCTTTAATCCTCCCACCCAATTCCCTCCTTTTGCTCTGTAGATTGACTTTGCTTATAGGATTGGCCTCCAGACACTGATGAGGCTGTGAGGCTGCCCAGGTGCTGATCAGCCCCTACAGAGAGGAGGAAATGCTGCACTAGCATGTGGGTTACTACAGATGAGGAAAGAGGTATGATTTGGGCTCTGACTGTTGAGCTGTGTCCCTTGTTGATGCCACAGCCTGGGCACACCTTCCTGCCTCCTCAGAGGCCCCTGTGTGAAATAACCTTGCAGGCCTTAGAAGTATAGGAGTGATGCTGTGTTTGTGTCTTCTGGGAAGAACCTCCCCTTTCTATCCTCTTGTCACTCATTGAGATTACTGACCTTGAGAGCTGACACTTGATCTTGCCCAAAGTAGCACTGGGTGCAGTGGCACCCTGGCTGACTGGCCATAAAAAAGTGATGTCTGGCCTTTGTGTTCTTGGTCCTTGTCTCACCAGATTGGTAGTGACCAGCATCTGTTTGCATGGGGACTGTGGTAGTTGTCTGGCTACTCCTGATTGTTAGCCATAGGTACAACAAACACAAAGCATTTGTAAATAATGAACTCAAATCATTGCCATTTCTGCCTGCAGCCTGGAATTGTGTCGCCATTTAAACGAGTATTCCTAAAAGGTGAAAAGAGTAGAGATAAGAAAGCCCATGAGAAGGTGACAGAGAGGCGCCCCCTGCACACTGTGGTGTTGTCCCTGCCTGAGCGCGTCGAGCCCGACAGACTGCTGAGTGACTACATCGAGAAGGAGGTGAAGGTAAGTCTCCATGGGCCGCAGGATGAACCTGCCTGACACAGCAAAGGCCCCTCTGGAGGATCCAGCAGCTGCTGCTGTTTGTGAGACACGTCTCCGTGGATGCCGTACTCGAAGCTGCCACCATTGTCATGTCTGGTGATATGTCTGATAACTGGGTACACACACCCCAGATTTCTGTCTTCTGACTCTGTTTTTGGTTCTTTCTACACTAGTATGCCACTTCCTCTCTCTTGAAGCAGGCCACGTATTTTTGGTTCCTTGATTGGGACTCAGTGCTGTTTTGTGTGTCATTGTCACAGCCTAGGACGCAGGTCTCCTGAATCTTGTCAAAGCCTGTGTCCAAAACACCTGTGGATCAACATGATGTCATCCCCCCAAAACACTACAGTGAAGATAAATGCATGAAAAAGTCAGAGAATGAGACATGACAACAGTGTTGAGCAAGGCCCATAAACATAGAGAAGGAACTGGTGAAGATAGGGCAGTTGAATTAGTGATGCTGATGAACCTGAGTCTCCTCAGAGGATGTGGAGCCATCTGGCTGGGCCCCCAGTGATTGGGGCTGGGCACTGGGCCATGTGTTTACCTGGAACAAATTTCCGCTCTCTTCTGACAGTCAGATGATTGACTTTCCCAATCCCAAGGGAAGGTGGGAGGCCTTCCCCATAGAAACATGGAACTAGAGAGGTTTTGCATGTGGGGACACCTGGCAGGAAGGAGAATGAATACAAATCTTGTGCACAGAATGATTAGATCTGCAGTCCCCTTTCTCTGCCAAGCTTTCAGAATGTCTGCAACTAGGCCTTTCCCAAAAGCATCCTTGGAGGTGCTTTTATGGGGAAACTGAGTAGCCTGCAGAGTGCCACCGGGATAGTGACCCTGGATGCCAGCTGGTTGTCAGTGACTTCGCCTCTGCACACAGCTTCAGTCATAGGCAGCTGAGGAGAGGAGAAGAACACTTATGAGGAGAGGAGGAAGACATTTAACCTGAAGATAGAGCTCAAGACAAACACAGAAGTAAACGTGAATGAATTAGCAACGCAATAGGAGAGTGGGAAGGGCATAATTTTTCAGAAAGATAAGAGGAAATGTTGTTAAATAACAGTATCTATGTTAAATTTTAAAAAGATGAGTATAGGAGCTTCCGGCATTAAAAGCATGTCAATTACATATCTTGAAAAAATCATTAAAGGGCCAGAAAGAAAAAGAAAAATACCGGATGGTCTTACTCATAGCAGGAATCTAGAAAACTTAAATAAGGGACCAGGAAAAAAAATAACTATAACAAAGTAAAAATCAAAATCAACAAACAACTATGAACCAGAGACACTCTATGGGGGGTGGGGGACGGGAAGGGGAGGGATTGGGGTCAAAATAAGGGAGTCGCAATTATATGGGGAATATAAAAATAAAATTTATAATAAAAAAATCATTAAAGGGCTTGAAAGATAAAATCAAGAAAATCACGCAGAAAGAATAATCGAAGACAATCAGTAAACAAAAGATAAGAATGAGAAAAAAGAAATTATAGGATTAGTGTAGCAGGTTCATGTTTGACTCATGAGAAGACAGACTGTTGAATGGAATGAGAAGGAAATTATTGAGAGGGTAATACAAGCACATTTTGTAGAATTAACCAACGGACACACTCTGAGATTAAAAGGATCCCTTCATATGACCAGAAATGCAGGTTTCTGAAATATGAGTTGCTGACCCCGCTCTGAGGAAGTTCGTGGAGGGTGTGCTGCATCTGAGCACAGGGACAAAGGGCAGAAAATGTGAATTCAGTGTCGAGTTCTGGTATAGTATGGAGGGGAGAGAATCCCCAGAGTGATGGGAATCCAAAAAATAGACCTGAGAGCTCTGGGAAAGGTAAACAAATGATTTTATATGTTTGGGTAGAGGCTTTCAAAGAACTGAAAAATTAGAATAGTATGTAGGAAAAAAAACAAATGGAAGGAAGTGTGGGTCCATATTAAACCATGAAAAAGTAAAGGTTGGGAATTTCTGTTTCTAGAAAGATGAAGTAAATATACTCTTCTTTTTTCTCCCATTAAATGCAACTAAAAATCTTGGGCATCACAGATGCAACAGGCATTAAGAAGACTCTTAAGAGGGCCTCCCTGGTGATGCAAGGGGCTAAGCACAGCACTGTGAAGCTATCCGTAGCCTCTGTAGCACAAGTTCGATCCCCTGTCCAGGGAGCTACCCACATGGCGCAGCAGACCTCTCCTGTCTCGCCCACTGCTCCCCTTAGCAGTGTATTTCAGTCAGTCTGCCTGTTTTGCTCCCCCGTCTGTCTCTGGTGAATCCTCTCACCTCCCCCCCAACCTCTGGCCTGTACCCCAGTTCTTGTATGCATAAATAAATCTTTTTTTTTCAATGCATACAAGAACTGGGGTATAAGCCAGAGGTGGGGGTGTGTGTGAGAGGATTCACCAGAGAGTGGGGAGCCGAACAGGCAGATCCACTGAAATACACTGCTGAGGGGAGTAGTGGGCGAGACAGGAGAGGTCTTCTGTGCCATGTGGGTTGCTTCGTGGCCAGCTAGGGATTGAACTAGTGCTGTAGTGGCTGGCAGTACTTGGATAGCGCTGTCTTTAACCCCTGCACCAAGAACCCTGGGGCCTACAGAACTACCTACTGGTGATGTCCCTGAGTTTTCTTTTTGCTTCATATCCCCCAGAGTTGGAGCTGAAACTGGCAACCCAGTAGGTACAGACAAAAGCCTGCTCTCTCTAGTGAAGGACTAGGGAAAGGATGACCTACCAGGATGAAAATATTCAACAATAACTGCTTAGTTCCAGCCAAACTTGACAGAAAAAACTTCTGCCATCACCTCTGCTGCTGTCAGCAAGGCCGAGTGAGGTCCGGTGTCCACCCCTGAGTAGTGGAAGGGATTTTCCTTCCCAATGAGCCCTGGAAGGAACTGGGTGTCAGTGAAGACCATGCAGAACTAGAATGCCCACCATGCCCCACAGTAAAGAGGTGGCTGCAGAGGCCAGTGGAGAATGGAGCCCTCCATATCCACCTAGCAGCGGCAGGGTATGCTCCCCTTCCACCATGTGCTAGAGTACTCTCTGACATTTCTGTCATTGGAATTCTGGAGGGAGGGGCTGAAAACTGTTAAAAAAAAGGTCATGGCTGAAACTTTCTGATTTGACAAAAGACAAAGTTAGAGATTCAAGAAGCTTATCATACCACAGATATCTTAAACCCAAAGCAATTCACAGCAAGACCTGGCAGTGTGATGTGATTCTGACTCATGAATCACATGAATTCTGATTGATGATTCTGAAAAATAAAGTCTTGAAAGCATGGGTAGCGCAGCCTTTTGCAAATAAATATAAATTCTGTGGAGCAAACAGAAGGACAACAGATTTCTCAGCAGGAACCATGGGACCGGAAGGAATGTCTTTCTTCAAGTGCTAAGAGACCCTGAAGAACCAAAGTTAGCCTATATTCTCAAACAACAGACTCACAAATGGAACAATTTGTGGAGAAGCACACACTATCACAGGTGACCCAGTATGAAATGGAAAATTTGAATAGTCTTGTAACTATTAAAGAAATTCAGTATCTAATTTGAAAATTCCTATAAAAAAATTGTCGGGATCCAGACGACTTCTGGAGAATTCTATCAGCTATTTAAAGAATTAACATCAGGGGCCTTCCTGGTGGTGCAAGGGGTTAAGATGCAGCATTATGAAGCTATCGCGCAGCCACTGCAGCATGAGTTTGATCCCTGGCCAGGGAGATGACCCACATGATGCAGCAGACCTCTCCTGTCTTGCCCGCTGCTCTCCTCAGCAGTGTATTTCAGTCAGTCTGCCTGTTCTGTTCCCCACTCTGGTGAATCCTCTCACTCCCCATACCTCTGGCCTGTACCCCAGCTCTTGTGTGCATAAATAAATAAATCTCTTAAAAAAAAAAAGAACATCAATTCTGCACAATCTCCTCCAAGTAGTAGGAGAGGAACACTTTCTGACTCAGTTTATGAAGATAGTATTACTCTAATGCCAAAAGTAGAAAAACTACAAAACCAGAAATATGAAAAGAGATACAGAAATCCCCAACAAAATATTAGCTAATGTTATTTATCAATATCTAAAAAAATTATACATTTATGACCAACTGGCCGTATGCTAGGAATGTGGAATTGGTTCAATATTGCTAAGGAAGAAATATGATCAGATGGATCAATTGATGCAAAAAATGTATTTGACAAAATTTAACACCCATGCATGATAAAAACTCAGAAAAATGGGATATATATGCAAACAATAATTCTTTGGGCACCAGAATTTAAAATATAGTACCATTTATAGTTGCTTTAAAAAAAATGAAGTACAGGTATAAATCTTACAAAATTTGCATGCAGAAAACTATACAAAGCTGATGAAAGAAATTGAAGATCTGAAAAGAGAAACAACCATGTTCATCCATTATAGAAAACAACCAAGTTAATATGTCAGTTGACCCAAAATTGACATACAGATTTGATACAATTCTTGGCAGATTTCCAGCAAGATTTTTTTGTTGCTAGAGCAAGGTTATTATAAAATTTATATGGAAAGGCAAAAAGCAGAAAAGCTGAAACATTTGAAAAAGAGTAAAGTGAGAGGAATGAATTTGTCTTTCTGATTTCAAGATGTGTTTTATAGCTACAGAAGGTATTGTGAAGTATTATTGGAGAGATCAGTGGCATAAAGACAAACCCACACAAACTTATTTTTGACAAAGGGAAGAAAGCAATTCAGTGGAGAAAGAACACCTCAGCCATTGGGCACCCAGCGAGAAAAAAAAATGAACCTTGCTATAAATGTCACACCTGATGCAAAAATTAACTCAATATGGATCATGAACTTAAGGAAAAATGTGAAACAGTGACACTTGTAGGGAAAAAAAACCCAGAAAATCTTCATGACACAGGGCTTGGCACAGTTCTTAGACTTCACATGATAACCAGGGAAAATTGATAACAGAACTTCATAACATTT